ATGCAGGAAATGGGTTGGTCCTGATGCAAATGATCAGGAAGCAGTGAATGCTCTGGGCCAAGAGGTTAACCCTTGTGACTGGGGTGCCAAGACAAGAATTGGGCCTGTACCCAGGCTAGGAGGGGAGACTTAGGCCCGGGAGTTGAGTGGGTGAGAGAGGCTGGGGGAGTCAAGGCGCGCTGGGCACACTGGACTTACCCAGGGAAGGTGCTGGGACCAGGACATGGGAGGCTGTGCAGCCCAGGGAAGTAAAGGGAGGTGAGGGTGGCCCAGGCCTAGTGGGCTCCTGGGGGCCCCAGCAGGGAGGAACTGGATTGATCAAGATATAGAGGATCAGGAGGCAGTGGTGGCTCTTGGTCTAGAGGTTAGCCCTGGTGTCTGGGGTGCCAAGACAACAAACGAGCCTGTACTCAGCCTAGGAGGAGAGACTAGGAGGGGTAGATGGGATTGTGAAAGAGGCTGGGGAGTCAAGGCATGCTAGGCGTGCTCTATTTATCCAGGGAAGGTGCTGGGACCAGGACACAGGAGGCTGTTCACCCCTAGGTCGACCATACTTTTAAACTATGAAATAATTATCTTTTTACTTTTCCTTAAAATTAAAGCAAAGCCCATTCATTGTGTTAGTTTGCTTTTTGACCTCAAGCCTCCTCTTCTTTGTCTTCAGGAACAAAATCATAACCAAAAAAATCTAAGCTCTTCTACTTTCATTAATTGTGTGTGTGTGCGTGCGTTCGTGCGTGTGTGTGTGTGTGTGATGCTTCCTGGCATTTTTGTAAAAACACTTACTAAAAGAGATATTTCATGGTTATCAGGAAGTTAAAATTAGAAATAGAATTGTTTTTGGTTTGTAGAATGTGAAACAATACCACTTTTAAAAAAATTTTTATTTTATGTATACGTGTGTATTGCCTGCATGTAGGTAAGTGCACCAGTGTCATGCAGTGCCTTGGAGGACAGAAGAGGCTGTCAGGTCCCCTGGAACTGGAGTTACAGACAGTTGTTTGCTGCCATGTGGGTGATGGGATTCGAACCTGGGTCTTCTGCAAGAACAATCAGTGTTCTTATCTGCTAAGCCATCTCTCCATCCCTGAAACAATATCCCTTTTGTGTTCTATTGTCTTGTTTCCTAGTATTGTTTGCTCTTTTTCCTGGTACTCCTTACATGCATACATTCTGAGTTCTAAGGTGATACAGTCGGCAGTTAGTATTGGAGGGCAAGATTTGCTTTACAATATGACTGTGCCTACTTACTTCAAAATTCTTAAAAGTGCTGCTAAGTAGTTTCTAATCAATGATAAATTGTTGAATTTTTATAAAACTTCTTCTTCCTGAACACTCATAAGGATGAGATGATTATTTCTCTTTAAATGCACATTTTAAGGCTATAAATTAAGGATGGATGACAAAATAACTTACCAAATAAGTTATTTATTCACAGTGGGAAATGTTTTTTGGAAAAATTTAAATAAAATACAAGTAAAAATACATTTTGATAGATGTAGCTTGGAAAATTTTACTCTAATCATTTTCTTGATCTTTACTTGGCGGATGCAGCTCTCCTATGGAATACTAATTAATGTACTCTTCCTTATTGACTGCTTTCAAGAGGGTGTTTTGTTTATAGTTGACATATAGCATACTCTATTAATTTTCAAAGCTTATAGAATTCGAACCTTTTTCTGAAATTTTAAATTGCTTGTCTTTTAACAGCTGTAACATTCAAAGCATAGTTATATAGCTCCCCATGTCTTTAATCATTTAGCAATTAGTTTTCCCATACCACAGTGGTTAGAAATAAACTCTCCTGCTGAGTTCTTGCATATCTTGAAGACAAATGACAAGTATCATCTTGTCAACTGCAGTAGTGACTTCATTAACCTGACAAAACCTCATCCTGTTAGATTCCTATTAAATCCAGAACATGGATTTGTTTCAGTTCAGCCATGCTTTTGTATAGAAGTCTAAAATAGCATTGATTTCTCTGAGATGATCATCATGGCAGTGAGAAGGCAGTGACATGGTGATTTCTGCTTGTTCAATTTTAGGCTGTTGCTCACATTCTGATACTGAAACAGGATATCCACCTTTTCCGAGTCATCGCTGGATGCCCTAGTCATTTCAGAAATGGAAAATAGACATCCCTAATTGTCCTTTTAATTTTTTAATAGAATATCTTCTATTTATTCTCTGTAATTTTATACATGTAAATAATGAATCTTGATTATATCTGTCCCCAGTTGCCCCCAGTTAGCCTCAACATGTCCTTCCTTCCCCCTTAACAACCCTTTTTGTATCCCACTAAGTCCTCCCACCAAGTCCAGTGCTGTCTGCTAGGATGTTGACTGATCATATTGGCTTGAATTTGTGCAGGTAACCATAGCTGTAGTGAGTTCATGAGTGCAGTGGCTGTGTTGGGGCTGGCACACAGCTTACATGCATTTTTTCATTCTCTGCCTTGATACCTTACAGATGGGAATTGATGTGACTTTGGTTTTGTTGACTTCAGTCATAGGAGAACTTTATTATTGTTTGTGAAGGGTCCTGAAAGCCGAAAATGGCTTATCATTCCTAGAATAGAACTTTCTGTCATGATGGAATGTTCTGTGTCACTATTTTAGTGGCCCCAGGCTGGTATGGTACTTGATATATAGATCAGGCTGGCCTCGTGCTCAGAGATCTGCCTGCCTCTGCTTCCCAAGTACTGGGATTAAAGTGTGTGCCACCATTCCCAGCCAGAAAATGATTTTTAAAAGAATTTATAAGTTATTCAGCTTTAATTATTCTTTAGTTAGTCAAATGGAAAACATGGCTACCACTTTGCATAGTGTAGCTTTTCGAGTCCTACCAGAGAATGAGACTCTATGGCAAACTCTTCCTTTATTCCCATCACTTCTGATACTAAATGTGTAAATGTTCCACACTGAGCAGATCTTCATTTTGAGGCATCGAGCATTCTGCTAATTCAGCACTACCAGCCACTACCTGGACCTTGTGTAGATCCCATAAACAAAGGCTTGGTGTTTCAATACTGCCTCTGATTTCAGAGACCACTTTCAAGTAGTGGGTTCCCTGGTTCCCCACATGTCTGACTTGACTCTAAATTCAAGTTCCCTTGAGCCTCCCTTAGGGTCAGTATTTATTAGAACAGCTCACAGAATATAAGGAAGCACTTTACTTACTATTGTCATTTGTTTTGAGGCAGGGTCTCCCTGTAGCCCCAGCTGGCTTGGAATTTGCTATATAGACCAGGATGGCCTGTATCTCACAGAGATCCACCCGCATTTGCCTCCCAAGTGCTGGAATTAATGGTGTGCACCACCGCGTCAGCCTTACTATAATCTTTTATAAAGGATGGCATAAAGAATACAAATGACTAGCCAAATGAGGGTGTTATAGGGCATGATCCTAATGGGTGCATGGGTTTCTCTCCCTAGGGATTGTGGGGTTGTATTACCTCTTGGCATGTGGTTGTATTTACCATCTGAATGTTCTCCAAATTGCCAACATTTAGGATTTGTATGGAGGTTTCATTATATAGGTTTCATTATATTAATCTAATCATTGGCCATTGGGGTTAACTCCATCTCCAGTTGCTCTGCCAGTCCCCCAGGTGAAGGCATAGGTGGAGGTGGTGTGGAGTTGAAAGTCCATTTGCCAGCCCTATGTTTACTTCTTCTAACAACTATCCCTCCATCCAGAATCTGTTGGACATATCAGGAAGCACCTCATTAGGCATCTCAGATGAAAGGGACTTACTAGGAACAACAAAACATGCTCCTCTCACTTCGGATACAGCAAATATCTGAGGAGACTGCTACCAGAAATTGTAAGGAAACAGGATGTCTATTTCACAGTGTCATAGGAAGATTCAGACAGCTAAAAGTTCTGAGACCAAAGAAACTGGGATGTGGGAAGTCGAGAGGACTAAGTTTGATTGAGATTAGGAAAGGATTTAATTAAAAAATGCCTTTTCTGATTACTTTTAAGTATAAAGATTTTGAAAGTTAAAATGTGTATGATTCTTAACTCCTTGAAACAAGATAGGAACAAAATCACCTATGTACTGTTATCACATCCCTTGAAAGAGAAGAAAACCAGTGCTATATATCATTATGTTTATTTTTATTATTTCTGTTATCACATGCATCCTGAAGTTAGCAACAGTATTTTGTATATCACTGGCATCAGCAAATGTTTACCAAGTTGAATTGAACCAAGCCCTAAAGAAGAGAATGGAAATTTTATCTTTGGAGTTTGTCTGTTGGGTTTTTAGAATTTCTACTTTGTAATGCAAAATGGTTAACCTAGGAACACCAGCAGTAACCAGCTATTCTGGAGAGGTGGGCAGATCCATTGAGCTTGTTATTTGAGACTAGATTGGCCAACTTAGAGATCATACTGAAAAAAAAAGAAAAAAAAAAAAGGTTTATAAGTAATTAGTAAGTAAAAGTGTGCCGTGTGTCTTCATAGACTTAGTACCTTGGTAATTATGTGTTGAGGAGAAACATTACCAGTACCATCAGTCAAAATGTGCTATCCTTAGAGAAAGAAATCAAATCTGAAGTTTGAATAGTTAATAGCCTTAGAATGTAATCTAAAGTACATTTTCATTTTGAGTGTCATAAAAACATTTCCAAGTAACTGTATAATAGAGTAACTGGAGCCCTGTGTCCCAAAGTAAACTTATACTTTACTTTAAAATCAAATAAGATACAAACCATTGCAAAAGCTGTTGCCACCATCTTAAATGCTTCGTATTACCCTTGAGTTGCAGTGCTTACAAATTATCACTTGACAGTTGTGTCCATTCTAATAAGCTAGTCATTGTGAGTTTTGTATGCTATTTTCCTTTAGAAAAGTTAAGATTTCTGCTTTATTCATTCCCCTACCTATAAATTTTATCTGTCCTTATGAAAGAGTTGCATGAAAAATAATGGGCAATCTTGGTTTTAGATGAGTATGTAAATGAGCATCAATTCAAATATTTTATTTGTTTCTAGGTCCAGCAATTTAAGCAGGACCCACGCCCTACAACATGCCTTCACTCCGTTTTCAATGTGCAGACGGGAGATGAGTTGCTGTCCTATGAGGAATATGGCCATCTTCAGGTACAGAGAGATATTACAGATTCACCTTTTCACTATTCACATGGCATACCATGGCATTATCAAGGCTGCTTACATTTTTTCTAGTAACTTCTATGAATTACTTTAAAATGATACAAAAATGAATGCTGAAATGGAAAAGACAGTACATCGGTAATCAACATTGCTGAAGTAATTTCTGTGATTGACTATTCAGCCTGAATGAGTTCATGTAACAATTAGAAGATTATATTATTAATTTCATTTAGAAAATGAAAGCCTACTACTTGTTCAGTAATGGAAGCTTGTTTATATTTATAAGAATTCCAATAGTAGATAATGAAAGACATTTGAAAGTTGGTGTACTAGTAACAGAAGGTTTCGTTAGACAGCGGGTCATTTTTTAATACCAGCTTTCAGTAAAGCTAAAATCTTCTATCAGAATGCCACAAGACATTTCTGAGGTCTATACATTTTTGTGTTCTATTAAATTTTATACCTGTGTTAAGGATACACAGTAGGATTTTCTGTTTTGTCCCCTCCCCCATGATTTGTTGTTTTAAGCTAGATGTCCAGTTTTTTGTAAGATACAAATGTTATATATGCTATTTATCTTTAATGGATTTTCTTCCTTTTCTTCATTGTTTTCTTTTTTGATATAAAGTACTTATTCATCATATATTAAATGGTAACATTAAGAGTTTCTCCTGTGTGTATATTTACGTACAGATGCTCATGTGTGTATAGGAAGAGATATGGTGTGAATGCACATGTGTGTGTGGAAGCTAGAGGACAACCTTAAGCATTGTTACTCAGGCATCATGGAATATACTTTGAAATGGGGTCTCTCATTGGTGTGGTGCTCAGCATTCTGGGGCCGGCTGGAATGGTCCCAGCCTCCAGAGTAGCTGGAACTCAGCTTCAGCTCCTTTGTTCTTATCTCGAAATTTAAACAAAGTGCCTGTTACATGTAGGTATTAAATAAATCCGTTCATAATTTCCAGTTACTGACCTTTTCTCACAGAAGTATCCTAACAGTGAGAGCTCTGCTTTTTCCCAGTGTTTTATAACTTATATCCACAGGAGTGAAAGATTGTCCTGACAGGCTAATCTTAGTGCTAGATTTTTGGATGAGCTTCCCTTTGAGGGGAAACTCTTCTCTGGCATGTTCTGAGGAAAGACCCTCGAAAATTTATGCTGATCTAAAAGGTTTGAAACCTAAGTTCTTTGTTTTTCTGCCTGGTCCACTTGTGCCTGGAAAGATTTGATTATGAGCTCTATGAAATGAGAGACTCCAAAACAGACCTGGTTCCTGAGAAGGCCCAGAGCAGTGCCCTAGTGTCACAGAGCTACTCTGCCTAAGGATCTGAAGGGCACCAATAATTTTCTGCCCCAATTTTCTGTTTGTCACTCAGTACAAATTAGAGGAACAAGCCATGAAAGCTGTTAGACAATAATAATCTTCTGTATTAGATTGTACATACACAGAATTATACCTTGTTTACGCTTTAACTCAGATTTGTGATTTCCTTGCAAATTTTTTTGTTTGTTTGTTTTTGGTGTTTTTGAAACAGGGTCTTCCTGTAGCCCCAGCTGACTGATTTTTGACAAAAAGTAAAAAGGTTGCTTAAGGGTATTTTGGGGAGAAAAGTGGAGAGTAGCTGCTTTTATTTGTAGAGTTTCTTTTGAGGATGATGAAACCATTTTAAAATTGAATGTGATAATGGGTGCACAACTTGGAATATATGAAAAACATTGAATTAAATATTTCAAATAGGTAAACTCTGTGGTATATGAATTATATATCAATAATGCTGGGGACTTTTTTTGTTTGTTTGCTTTTGCAACAAGGTCTCCCTGTAACCTCAGCTGGCCTAGAACTCGATGTAGACCAGGCAAGCCTCCACCTCTTGAGTGCTGGGATTAAAGGCATGGATAGCAAATCATTTTTTACTTAATTTTTAGTTATTTAAAATAGCGTTATCTCTGGGCATGGTAGTGTACACCTTTGATCGAGCTGACGTTTTGTCTGTGTTCCTCACATTTCATTTAAATGCAGTCATATGATAATGATGTTGGAGAGTCTTTTGTGCTGGCTTCTTTTATTCTATTTATTCTATTACCGAGGGTTCTCCAGGAATATGGAACCAATAGGGAAGGGAAAGAAGGAGGGAAGGAGGGAGAGAGGGATAGACAGGAAGACAGACTTGCATACATACTTCAGATCGGATAAGATATGTTCAGAGTTGCAAGTCCATAGATATTTGAGGAGTCATTTATTAGGGGAAATGACTCATGTAATTATTTTATTTTTCTGTGACAAGATCTCATTATTGCTCACATTGGCTACACCTCACTGTATAGCTGAGACTGGCCTTCGTTTCACAGTAGTCCTCATGCCTCAGCTTCCCAAGTAGTGGAATTAAGGGCACAAGCCATCACACCTCACTATTCACATGATTATTGAGGCTAAGTCCCACCATAGGTTATCTGCAAGCTGGAATAACCAGGAATCCAGTATCGAAGCTCAGTCCAAGTCTGAAAAAGCCTGACTATGAAGAACCTGAAGGTGTAATTCTCAAATGGAGGCTAAAGGACCAGAAGCTAGAAAAGGGGGCATAATGTTAATTCAGGGACCCCCAAAACTAGAGAACTTGGAGCTTTAGTATTAAAACCAGAGGAAGGATCATGTCCTAGCTTTGGCAAAGAGCAAGAAGTTGCACTTACTCTTTTTTGTTTCATAGCCACAAGAAGCCTTTTACTAGCTAGCTAGGTGTCCGTGTACCTAGTTAACAGTGAAAATTAATCATTCCTCAAGATTTGTCTATAACAGAGACTGTATCTTTCCTGCTTTCTTATATGAGACACTTTATAAATCCCATTCAAGATTCTATTGACAGTCTGTTTTGTTAAGCTAGAAATCATTGTCTTTTTGTTTAGATCATATACAGCCTATATTTGATATACTAATAATCTTAGTAGTTCATAAATTTTTTAAGTTTTAAATTATGAATTACACCATTGATTAAAGGTAACGTGTTCCTTTGGTTGTTTCTGTAAATTCTGTATTGTCTGAAAATAAGAGTATTGGGGTAGTTGTCATGTCTTGTTTTTCAAACAGCTTTTTCATTTACATATATCTCCGATGAAGAATATTATATTGCTTCCTCTGGGACAAAGCTATTACAAAATAAAAGTACTTTAGACTCAGAATTTGAAAACTTTAGGAAACAACTGTTATAGAAACAGTACCAACAGGTCTCCTTGCAACCATCTCCCTAATCATATGCTAACCCAGGTCAGGGAACTTGGGAATTTTAAAATTTTATATACAAACACAGGTTTTTATTATGGGCTAATTTCATATCTTTGTTATTTTACAATGAAGAAGAAAATATTTTTATATGGCACTATTAAAGAAAATTCCATCATTTGCATAATTTATTTTCATAGCATAATATTTTTGTCCTTTTGTTTAACCTTTTAATGTTGCTCCTTCCTTTTGTTTTCAGATAAATGCAGTGTCACTCTATCTCCTTTACCTAGTGGAGATGATTTCCTCAGGACTCCAGATTATCTATAACACTGATGAGGTAGGAGTGCCCCAAATTTTCTGTTACTGAACTTCGTCTAGAGGATATCTGTTTTTTTTTCCCATTTTAATTTCATAAAAATGCTTTAGTTTTAAATTCATACACTTACATATTGGATTTTTGTATTGTACTCCAATTTTTTTGTTAAAATTGCTTTCTTGTTAATTTTTTTAGTTAGTATATAAAATGATGGGTTTCATTAAACACTGCATCTGTACACATCATTACGTTTCCCTCACATTGCCCCTCACTTACTCCTTTTTTTCTGCTTATCTTACTCCTTACCCCACATAGTCACCCTCTGCTTTCATGTCACATATGTGTGTATACACATGTATGGATAGGTGTAGTGAAACCTGATTTCCCTGTAAGAGAAGAGGTGTTCATCTTTCTTCCCGTTACTCTCCATTCTCCTCTCTTTCCTCCTTGTAGACACCTTCCTTCCCCACATGGTCCATCTTCTACTCTTATGACATACATACATACACACACACACACACACACACACACACACACACACAGATACATATAACTAACTTCTACATATAAAGAAATATGTGATTTTTGTCTTTCTGAGTCTGACTTATTTGGTTTGCTATGATGATCTCTAGTTCCATCCACTTTTCTGCAAATGACACATACAATTTAAAAATCAGCAAAATATAAAACAGGTATAAAATTTCAGTGAATGTTGTAGCTTAGGTAACAGGAAATGAAGGAATAGCTTTTCAGACAATTTTAGTAACTTTGAAAATAAAATAGCATTTACAGATTTTCTCATTGTTACCGTGTCTCTTTTCACACCATTTCCTTTTATAACTCATCTGTTTAAAAGCCAAACAAGAAAAAATTTTTAAAAACTCATATCTTATTATTTCTATGACCTTAGTAAGATTCTTCTTGTTTTCCAAAATAAAATTACTATGTTCTTTTTCTCATTAGGAAAATAGATAAATGTAAAGAATTTATCTCTCAGAGTTGTATAGCTTTTCTTTGAAAGAGATTAAACTTGAACACACAGGGACACATACTGATACATTTAGAGTCATGTTCTCACCCCCTTTTCCCTTCCTTCCCTTTCCTGTCTATCCCTCCTCTTCCCTAGTAATCTCTTTCATGGCTTTTTGCTTTGTTTGTGTCATTCTGGGTTTGACCAGGGCTGTCTGTGTGGCTATGGGATTGAAACTATCCATGGGTTCATTAGTGGGTGCACACCTGAAGACAGGGGCTCTTCCTCTTCCAAGGGATAGATCCCCTTAACCTCCTCCCCCATCCATGATTGACTGTTGAGATGGCCTGTCTTGTGCCGGTCCAGTGCAAGTAACCAAAGCTGCTCTGAGTTCATGATAAACTGGATATGTTGTGTCTATAGAATGGGATTTCTATCCCCTTCTCCCGAACTTTCACTCTTACACTCTGTGCCCTCTTTCTCAGTGTTCTCTGAGCATTAGAGGGGAATAATATAAATGGCTTATTTATGGCTAAACCCTCAACTGTCTCTTATTCTCAGCATCTTTGGCAGCCATGAGCCTGAATTTACAAATGTTCACTGCAGAGAGAGGCTTCTTTGATTAGGGTTGATAGTAGCCTTTGTCTAAGGGTATAAATTTAGATATTAAAAGGAAGGTATATTTAGCTACACTTTAGAAGTAATTTCTTTCATAAGTCATATGACTTTATGAGGAATGGGTTTTTGACCAGGCTTACAATATCAGTTGTGGATTCTCTTTTATGGAGCAAACCTCAAATCTCCTCAAAGAGGAGTTATCTACATAATAGCTGTGTTACTGGTGGACATATGTGGATGCATCATGCCTGCAAGCTGGTGTTATAGTTCATAGAGTTTACTGTCCTGTAAGACCATTGATGTCTCCTCCCCAGCATCCTTCCTACAACCTGCATAGTATCTTGTAACCCTTTGGAAGCTAGTCTTCAGCAATTGAGTCTTATTTATATCTGGTGGTAACCTAGAAGATAAAAGCAAGTGCTTGTATTGTATTGGGGACCTCTGGGGCCTCCCTGACTAACACCTATATAGAGGTGTGCCATACTTTACTACTTCTAAGAGCAGCCTTGTCTAGCAATATGGAGTATCTCCCTTCAAAGTCTTTTATATATTTTCCTAAAATTAGAATGTAGTAGGTTTTCGTACGACTTTTTCATGCTGCCTTCATTTTGTTTAACTCTCCCCCTCATGCCCCTTTCATTTTCCCCATCTTCCTAGTGTCCCTTCCTGTCTAGTCCTTTCCATCCCCAAGATTCTCCTCCTTTATTTTCATTTTGTATATTTTATACTGAACCCATTGATGCCTTTCGAATTCTATGGCTTCCACTGGGACTCCAAGTTAACACACAAAACTAAAGCATTAAAACTAGGATCTGCATGAAAGCACATGCAGCATTTGTCGTTTTAGGCCCAATAGTTTTTTCATGTTTCATCCATTTTTCTGAAAATTCCATAATTTCACTTTTCTTTACAGCAGAATAAAATCCCATTGTACATATTTTTATTATCCATTTATTCAATTAATTGGCATTTAGGCTAACTTCATTTCTTATCTATTGTGAATAGAGCAGCAATGAACATGGATGTGCAAGTATCTCCACAGTAGTATAGAGAGTCCTTTTCGTATATGTCCATTAGTGGTATAGCTGGTTTGTATGTTAGTTTAATTTCTCTTTTTTTGAGGACTATCCAGATTTATTTCCAAAGTGGACTTGCTAGTTTGCACTCACTCCTACCCAATCATTCTAAAAGGATATCCCTTTCTCACAACTATAATGACATTTTTTCTTATTTGTATTTTTGATAAAGGTAATTTGGGACTGAGGTTAGATGGAATCTTTTTTTTTTGTAAACTTTTTATTGAATGTTTATGTATGTCATACAAAACATCTTAATCTTAGTCATTTGTGTTAGTGACTACCATGTCAAGTTAGTGTTAGTGTCCCCAGGTGTCCCTCAGTGCAAATTCATCCGCTGGGGTCTAGTCAGCCTATCTAGAGTCCCTCCCTTTAAGAAGATCAGTAGTTCTTCCATACTTTGGACACAGGATTTGAAGCAATAGAGCTGCAATTGACTTGAAACCACTTCTCCTGAAGGCTAGCTCTCATAGCTTTGGAGAGTACTGTGAAGATGCCAAGGGGAAAGAAAACCATCAAATGATGGTCCAACACCAGCTTCAAGACCAAATAACCACATTAATGGCCAGCACAGCATACGTCATTGGTGCCATAGTGGTGGGTGGTACTGTAAACATAACCAAATAGACATGGCTGGAGTGGTCATAGGTCTTAGAGAAAACCCCAAGACTGTCACATCCCTAGACTAATGTGATTTCTTACTATGTGCAAAATATGTGTCCTTTTATTTACAGAAAAATATCCCAGTCACTACTGATTAAAGAAGCTCATTTTGCATCAGTTGGAGACTATTACCAAGTACCACAACTGGTCACACGCAGACATTGTCCAGGCCCAAGTCACACATCTATAATGCAACCTCTATATGTAAGGCTCATGGAACATAGAACAGGGGTAAAGAAGAAGGCACTAATGAAACTCTCAGTTCTCATTAATGAAGCCCCCTCATGCAGCAGAGGGCCAGGGACACAAAAAGTCAGAAATGGCCAAAGTGTAGAGATCAAGAGTCTGCTGAATGATGGTCCTTGGACAGGACTCCTTTATTAAACTTCACTTATCCAAAGCTCAGGGATCATCATGGAAGAAGGGGCAGAAAGATTGTAAGAGGCAGGGAGGAGGTGAAGGACCATATGGAAACAGAGTCTTAACAAGCTCCTGGGACCCTGCTCATATGATTCTATGGCAATGGTGTCAGCATACACAAGTCCCATGCAAACTCAGACAGACAAAAACTCAGCATAGAACTGGGAAAATGAGCAGCAGCCTCCAATCTTGTCTGAAGAAATATTGGAAACTGATTGCTGCTGGGTGAAGAAGAGCTGATCTTCCTAAAACAAGGACTGTAGAAGGGCTTACTAGACCTCAGTGGATGGACTTGCACTGGGTAATATCTGGGGACACTGACTTGACACAGTGGGCCTTAACAGGGATGAGAGTTGGGGGGCTGTGGGAAGGTGCCAGTGGGGATGGATGTATAAAGATGAATAAGATTGTTTGAGATGTTCTGTATGCAATACACAAAAATTTAGTAAAAACAAATTTTTAAAAATTCAGTTCTTCCTTACCCAGCAATAATCAGCTGCCAATAATTTTTCAACTAAGATTGCATTTCCACAGCTCTGTACTGGGTTTGAGTTCCCAGCACCTACAGGGCAGGTAGCCACTGTCTGTAACTGCAGTTCCAGGGGATCTGATTCCCTCTTTTGGCCTCTGTGGGCATTATAATACATGTACACTTGCATTCCTGCAGGCAAAACATTCATACACATAGAATAAAACTTAGAATGTTTACTAGGTATTCGTATCTGTTATTTTGAGAACTCTGTTGATTCCATAACCCACATTTTCTTCAGGTTGTTTTCTTGATACTTAGTTTTTTGAGATTCTTGTATGTTTTAGATACTAATTTTCTGTGAGAGGTACAGCTGACTGTACCATTCTGTGTGCTCTCTCTACTCTTAGTTGCCATTTCCTTTGCTGTGCAGAGCTTTTTTTTTTAATATTTTTATTTTTGAGACAGGGTTTCCATGTAGCCCCAGGTAGCCTGGAAGTCCCTCTTTAGATCAAGCTGACTTCACTCTCACAGAGAGCTGCCCAACTTTGCCTTCCAAGTACCAGGATTAAAGGCATTCACCACTATACCTGGCATAGGGTGTGTTTTTTTTTTTTATATATATAGCAACAGAAAACAGATTAAGATATGTTCAAACCAAGTTCCCTTTGTATCTTGCAAAGTTTCTGGATTTTTTACTCTTTAAAAAATTTTTATTGAATTTTTTGGTATTTTATACAGAAAATCATCTTTATACCCCCCTTCCCCTTGGCACTCTCCCATAGCTCTGTCATGTAAAATTAGT